TTTTTTTTTTCATTTTTGTCTTCATGCAAGTCATGCTTTTTTTTTTTTTTTTTTCATTTTTGTCTTCATGCAAGTCATGCTTTGGAACAAAAAAATAGATTAAAAAAAAAAAATATCTTCTACAGTTTTGTTACATTTTGGCCGTAGAAAAAGCCTGCATCTCTAGTACAACTCCAGAACCACGAAGAATCATCCATAAAACCTGCATGGAGCGAGTTAACTTTGTCCAAATGAGAAGGTCTTCTATGCCTGCACAGTTCCACAGAGATGTTTATTAGCCATCAATGTTCATCTCCATCTTGCCTTGTCAGGTCACTCTGACTGCCTCTGTTGGCATATATTTAGCAATGACTGGACTTTCTTTGCAAAGATCTGCATGTAAAGAATACAATCAGTACTTGAGCTTCTTCCCTGCGCTTTTCACATCAAGCTCGGCATCTTAGTGTTAAAGGAAGGAGGAAAAGGTGAAATAGCTACATGCAGAGGCAGCCATATTCTTCTTCAACAGGATTTTTTTTCCCATGCAGTCAGCCAGACTGAGACCTCTCTACAGTGTGTCTGAGTATTGCTTTCAGCTTAAAATAGGTGCCCATGCAAAGTTTCATCCTACTGTGCTTGTTTGCTCAAACTCCTGCAGGGTTCCTATGGCTCAAAAATATCCTGAGAAAAGCAAAATCTTCCATCGTTGGCATGTTTCAGCATCGACTATACGCCTAACCCATTCCATACAGAACCAGTAGATCCACCATTAGCCACAATAAGCATATGCTAGCAGGATGCACCAGGAAGGAAGCCATCTGGTGCATCTACCCTTCATCCTATGTAGTGATACCATGCAGCACGTATGGCCCACCAGTACTACGCCAATGCCTGCCTATTGTCATCTGAGTGCTATTTAGGAGTGTTGTCACCTAAGCATCAGAAGTAACACTGTTTGCAGCAGGTGCTACTGTGAGACATTGCATCTTCAGACTTAGTCACCTGGACTATATGCAACATCGCATAGGCTAATTGAAAGTAAAGCTTTTTAGACCATTCTCTGCTACTGATCCATGCTACAAAATAGATGGGATGGGAGACCAAGAACGTCTCACTGGGCTAGGAGAGCTGTAGGGCGCAGACACTGAGGATAATCCTATCGCTTTTCCACTTATGCCAGCTATGCTGTTAAGGCTCCGTGACATTTCGTAACCTTCATTTAAAAGAAAAATGCAAAGTACAGCATTGGATCAATGACAGAATGGACTAAGAATGAGGTCAACATTGTAGCCAGTTCAATAGCATCTGCATGCACGGACATGCCGAGAGTAGTATCGCTTGCAACATGACTCAGAAGGCCGTTGGAATACAGAAAAAAATTAAAATATATACATTTTAAAAAAAAATCATCATTTCTCAAGATGGTCAGGTTATGTAATTGATCCTACAGGCAGCAACATGGTTGTACCCTAAAAAAAAGAAGAGTCAGTGGGAGGGATTTTTTTATGTCTCCATCATACACTCACACATACCTCTCCCTTCCACTTCATGCATTGTGACCTCAGGCAAAATAATGATTTGTGGTATCTTTGTGGGGCAGGAGGGGGGCAAGGCAGCAAAATCCATATAATTGAATGTGTTGCTATAGAGATACTACTCCTTTGTTCTCAGCATTAAAAAAAAAAAAAAATTAAAAAAAGAAAAAGAAAGAAAACAAAATTGCATGCATTCCATTTCCCTCCCTCCCTCCCTCCCCGCCTTGTTTTTCAGGCATGCACGTAAACAGCTCAGCAAGTGTAGAGAGAGTTGCACAAACTATGGATGAAATTCTGTTGAAACAACAATTAAGATGCTCTCAACATGTTTCAAACAGGCCAACAATATGCTGACGTATATTACTCTTTAGCCAACCAGCCTCTGTTTCATCCAGGAACGAGAGGAGGTTGCAGTGCATCGTGAAAACCATACATTCCCCATCCCAAAGGATGTGCCATTTGGAGTGTTCCCCTGATCCACTGGAACCACCTGAACTCGTCCAGGCTGAATGAACACGGCCAATGCTTATCCAATACAGAATCAAGTAAAACACTTTGCTACAAAGGTAAATTTTAGAGGATATACTTTCATATGAAAGTCTTGTGGTCCTACTATATCTTTGTTGATGATAAGCTTTAGACTTATAAATACATACACTATCTATTAACTGGCATTTACTATAACTATTGCCCATCATACAATGGCACATGGGAATTCTATACTCCATACTCAGTGTATGGTTATGTCATACAATCTTTGCAGTTTTAAAATATTGATTCTATCTTATACTATATACAGTACACCAGTGGTAAACACTGATTTGAAGAGAGTGAATTCTTTTCCAATTTTCTCATTCCTTATCAACTTTGATGCATACAAATGTAATTTTGGGTTTGTATGGTTGCCTCACACTAAATTATTTAAGCAAAACAGTCTCTTTTAAGAAGGGAAGGCTTTTTAATGGAATTTTACTTCTGTTGCTAAATTGATTATTCTGACCATTAGCAAACTACTTCTGAGAGATTTGTACCTGTCAGAAGTCTGAGAAACTAACTAATAATGATTTATTTATGAAAGGATTTTAGATGGATTATTTTCTGATTTTCAGACACCCGTGCCAACAGATGTTCATGCTTTTCCTTCTCTATTGAACTAACCAGCTATGAATAACCAAATATTTTATTTTAGTGCTCTGTTAAGGTCACTAAATAATAATTTCTTATTTTCTTGAGTATGTTTTGCTTTTGTGTTTTATCTCTTCTGTCTGCCACCTCCAAGTCTGTGCTCCTCAGAGTCTGGTAAGCTCTGCGAGCTTTCCAAGTGGCAAACTTTCATCGCTATGATTCATTAATTGGTCTTTCCTTACGGGATGGGCTAATTTAAGAGCATAGTAGAGCATCCTCCACTAAAGCTTCCTGCACCAGTTGGGGTGGAAGACTCGACTGCCTAGCATAGCTGCATGGGGTAGTTACAGCTCCTCAGGCTTTTCTTTCTGAAAGAAATAGGTTAGAAACTCCAAATGCAGACATCAGGTGGTGGTTTCCAGCCCAAACGTGCATCTCTACAGCAAGCGCACTACTGCGTGCTACAGCTAAGTTGACTTTCTCTTCGTTATTTAAACCGGTTGCTAGCTACGTGGTTACAGGGCCCCAGCTACATACCCTTTCTTATTCCTCCATCAGGCGGGCAGGGATATTCCCCGGTTGATAAGAGGAAGCAGGGTCCATATCTCTCCCGAGTGCCAGAGCGGGTAAAGGGCAGGCCCTCATCAGGCGTAATAGCCTGGTCTATGTGGGGACAGTCTTCGTTTGCCAGCGCCGCCTTGGCCACCTCACCATTCAGTTTCGAATCTTCAAACATATAAGCAGAAGGCTATTGAAACACTATGCACTTTTTATTAGAGTTCCAGCTGCAAATTAAGGGTTCACAGCTAAAGACTTCTATAGCGACATTCTAAAAGGTAGCACATCTGTCCTAGACACTGCGTTCATGTGCACTGCACCAAAATAAAATAAAGTCTGTTAAGTGGGAGGAGAAACAAAAGATGATCCCGTTAGGTGTGACAGCAGCCACCTGTAGGTCCGCACTGAGGGGCCCTTTCAGAAAGGGGCGTGCAGTGGTTCCTAGTCCTGCGAGCAGAAGACCGCGGTTAGAAATCAGAGTATGTTTTCGCATGACATCGGATGGTGCATGGATGACCTGTTTGTCATGGAGCCTACTGTTGCTCAGAGCTCTGGAGAGGCAGTGGACTGAGAGTTGTGTTGGAGTATTTGAGTATATTCTGTTTGTGCTGGTTTACACCTGTGTGCGGTATTACTGAGGGGGAAATTCCTGCTCTTCCCCTCCCCAAAATTTACCCAGATGGTTTTATAGCATTTCCGGTATCAGTCATGCAGAATGGCTGTACAGGTTTTAGACACACAGAGTACGTTGCGTATGGAAATACGACAGCAGAATGTGGATTTAAAGAAAACCCAATCCATTTTCTGATGTTCTCCTCTGAAACATATACAGTATTGCAATGCCAGCACAGGACACTACATACACAAAACACTACAGCAGGCCATGAATTTGGAAACTAGATAGAGTAAAATTTACTCTTGGCTGTAAATAATGAAAATAGGTTGTCAGATTTACCCATTTTGCTTCACACATTCCCATGAGGATAGACTGAAAATTATATGTTTTCTCTGTGTGACTGGTTTTTACATTTATAAAACAATTTAAAGTGCTATTTACTGTAGGATTTTTTTTTTTTTTGGGGGGGGGGTTTGGAAGTGCAAATTAGTGTATTGAGAATATACTCGAAATATGGCACAGCTCGATATGAGTATTTTGGTTGAAGGGAGGGGAAAACAGTAAAAATGTGCTTTCTGAAGCTCCACAAACGCCGATATGTTAATTGAGTGGTACTGGCAGCATCCTACACCTCGGTTGCACAATGCTTATTACCTAGACACTGTAAGGCAATGGGTGATCCTGCAAGTCTTTAAGGAAAGAAACTCAATGGATAGACTTAATTTCAGTTCCCCTTCTACATCCATGTACTAGCTTGTTCTAAATGCTATATAATATTTTCATTTAATTTGCAATTATTTTGAAGCCACTAATAAAATAAACCTCAAAGAAAAAAACGTACAGTTAGGTAGGGTTTGGAGGTATGATTTCAATCCTCTGATGGACAACAGATGAGTAGAAGGCAGAAGCATTTTCAAGTTATGCTTGTTTCTTTACACACACACACACACACACACACACACACACACAGATGTACATGACACAAACTATGCACCTATCATGCACCAGTAATTGCATTCTAGGCAATTACTTTTCTATTTAGATGTCACTGGTTTGTCACAACATAAAAAGTTGCTGCACATCTCACCTCTGCCTCCATTTTTCTCTGGGCAGAATCAGCTACTTATTTCCCCCGAGAGGGATGTAGAAATGTTTTGTTTTGTTCTGTGGGCAATGAAATAATTAGGTCTCTTAATACATTTAAAAATGTGGCAGAAGCCATAGGGGCATTTTAATACTTGTAGACACTAATTTCAATAGGATTCTTAAGTTTTAAGATTTCACTGAGTTGCAATTCCTTTCTGTTCATAATAATCACTGCTATTTAATGCCACTCTGAATAAAAACCTGGCACGGCTGCCATAGAAACTGTGACACTGCAGGTACTGAGCTGTGTATTTAAAAATCACTTAACTGTGTTTGGGGAGAGCTGCAGTCCTCCTGGGGAGGAGCAAAGAACTGGGCTGCTTCATAAGCCTCTACTGCTACAAGCTGGTGACTCTAATCCTAAAATGAGGGAGGCAGCTGAGTCAGCAGAGCTACACAGTGAAACCTCAGACATCCACTGCTGCTCCTGAGCCCAGGTTTGCAAATGAAATTCTTGGTGATCGAGGGCAAATTGATCCTTTTCAGGAGCTCAAAACAACTGAGCAGAGTGGTTGTGGGTCAGGCTGCTCACAGGTAATAGCCATTGATTCTCTTGGAAGCAGCTTGCAGGCTCTGTTGTGCTTGAATGGCAACAAAATTGACCTTCTTCAAATTAATTTCTTAAACTGCATTATAAATCTGTAGTAGCTTGAGCTGGAACTTGCTCTTACAGTCTCTTCAGGGTCCCTTAGTGCTGATGATTTTTCCTCTATGCTTGTTAAAATTCCACGACCTTGTTATTTTATTTCCATTCAAGAGGAAGAGAACAGAGTAGCTGGAGATGTGGGAAAATTACTGAACTATCCTATTAATCTATTAATGTCCCTTGAACATTACAGTCACAGGCCATGCCTTAGGGATCACATTCTGAATAGCCATGCTAACCCACAATGACAACTTGGGCGAATATTTAGGAAGTAGAGAAGTTGCCAGCACAGAACACTATTGCTGGTGTATATAAGTAAGTACTAAGTAGAATTGTTGTGTTCCAAACCACTGGCTACAGCACCTAATTCTCTGGATGTATGTGATAATCTGTTACAGGAGTAAAGAAAACATAAACATCACTGATGCCATCAGTCCACAGTTAGAAGTTTCCATTCTTTTAACTAGAAAATTGACATGCTGAACAATTTTAGGAATAAGGTCTAAAGATGGGTTGAAATTACATTATTTCAGGTTGATTTTTTAAGTTTCCATTTGCATGTTTGCTTTTTCCAAGACTGACCCTGTGATTGAGAGAACTACAGAAAAAGAAAAACTATGCAAGCATTGAGTCTGAATCTAGTTATACTAATGGTGCCTAAAGCTTCTAAGGGTTGATTCTGGCCTACCAAACTCATGAGTCCTTCCATCCCTGCTAGCAGAATCTGAATTAGGCTCATACAGCATTTTTTGTTCTTTAGGTTTTGTTCTATGAAGAGAAGTCAATATTATCATCTCTGTTTTACAGATGGGTAAAACTACCGTACAGTGAGGTGACTTGCCTACTGCTATGTAAGAGGGTATTTGCAACAAAATCTTCCAACTCTCAGCTTGGCACCTTATCTTCCTAATTGTCCTATCTATGCATACCTAGCTAACTGCACAAAACATTCTCCTGCAGAGCCTGAGAGGGTGAAGAAAGTATTCAGCATATTTCCCAGGTGAGTAGTTTGTGTAATTTGTGTGGCTTCCATTTTTTTTTCCCCTCTCTCATCCCTCTTCATTTGTAGAAAAGTACATTAAAATGCCTTGTGTATTTCCAAGCAAATGCTGGATTTCAAAATGGAAGGAAGGAGTTCTGAAAAATATCCCTACTTACAAGAACTGCTGGATTTTGCATTAGTGTACTCTGCTTATTGTGGAGAAGCACAGTAGAGCTGCCCATGTACCTGCTGCTGCTCCATTACTCATCTCTTTTGCCACAGCAAATGGTTGCAAATTGTTACAGTAGTTTTACCAGTGCTGCTGGTTTTGATCATAAGCAAGAGTCTGACACCGACTCTCCAACTATTTGAACTGTACCTTATGTTCAGAGTATCAGTGGACATGATTGTATGATTTTTTTTTTCACCTCAGTCTATGCTTAGAAATGTGGCACTTGTGCTGAAATGGTTCCTGCACAGGGAAATTTACCCCAGTCCTCTTCCCTGGAGCCATTCTCCAGCAGCTGCCAAGAAACAAGTTTCTGTCCTACCTTTCTTACTGCAGGTATTGTCAGGAGTCATGTTGTGGTCAGGGGTGGTGCTTCATCTCAGGATTGTAACTGTATGTTTTTTTCTTTGTAGCTGTGCCCCCAAACTCCCAGGTCTTTCTCTCCCATGTATCTGCAGACCTGTGCAGTAATCACTTACTCCAAAGACTGGATGAGTTGAAAGGTACTCTCAGAGGGGATCATTTTAAGTGTTTACAGGATCACTTTGACTGAAACAGGGCTAAGATAAACCTCACAATCCATAGCAAGGTATCCAAGCATAGTCACCTATGAGTCAATATCTGAACAAAAGGACTGTGACAGATTTGTCCACATTCTGCTGAAGAAGATGGGGTTTTCTCAGCTCTAGATCAGAAACACAGCGAATAAGAAACATAGTTTTGGTATTTTGGTCAAATGAGGTGACTGACATTTTCCTCCAGAACAGAGACAGTCTTGCTCCTCCCCTTGTTTAAAGGTTGAAAGAGATAAGGACAGAGCTTGAGTACCTATAACTGTCCTAAACAGAGATTGGGGTGACTTCAGAGCTTTGCAGCCTGCTTCAAGAGAAGGGTTTGAGAGGCAGGAAGCAGGCAGGAGCAGCTGAGAACAGGGCAAGGAAAGTAAGTTGTTTGAAAGATGAAGATTTTGCCGCTGGGGACATCTTCTCTGAGTAAAGTTACATTTCACATCCCCACCCCACAACACCTAAAAAATACCCTAACACTTCTCTATATCCCAACTGTGCTCTTATAGTCCTGATCCAAACCTGGGACAGCCATTATTACTGTCTGTGGACAGTCCCACTCCTGATCAATTGAGTGTCCTTTGGTTCTTTTTCAGAACATGAGGGTCATTTTCATTTTAAATGTGTCACTAACTCTAATATTTACAGTAGCTGCCTGAAATGTTTTATGAAGAAGGATCTCCATAAAGTTCCCTAACAGCAGAGACCTTTAATCCAGCTGGCTCCCTGAAGAAAAGATGGGTATGTGTTCCATGAATTAATTACTCTTCTGCATTTCAATCCTCTCACACTCTCCTGGTGATGTAAAAGGGTTGTTACTGTGGCAAACATTATCTGTGTCATACTCTGCTGGCAATGGGAAATTCTTCTTGGGATGATGGGTTTCCCTGGCTTTTGGGATCGTGACAGAAAGCGACAGGAGCAGGGGTGGCACGGCTGAGGTGAGGGAGGAGAATTGCTGTGCTTAGCTTTTCTTAGCTACA